AAATGAATGAGCTTTAGTTTCAAAGATTGCATATACGTATCTTTACAATACGAATTAAAAATCCATTAAGGTAGCCATTTTGTTGTTAATCTGTTAATCTTGCTTCTTAATTGATTTTTAATATGACAGTAACACAAGTAAATCTTTATTAAGTTGTCATTGACTGGTTTCATTGTGTAATTAGCAGTTACTAAGTTATGTTTGTAATCAACCGAACAAGTCAATTTTTTTGGTTAAAATACATGTCAGCTTTGAGATAGACAGCGACGAAATGAAGAAAAATGTTTCTTTATTACTTACACTACGTAATTATCTCGTATTGACCAATAGGAGATAGTTCCCGAACTTTTCCGCATGCCTCCACTAGTGTCCTTGGGCTACCTAGATGTGTAGTCCTTTGTCTTAATATGTCACTGCACTTCAGTAACACATGAGCGCTTGTCTCAGTCTCCATGCACGCCCTGCACAGAGGACTGTCAGAGTAACCCATGTTATAAAGATGTTTGTTAAAGTTTCCATGTCCAGTTAGTATACCTACTATTTGCCTTAGTAATTTGTTTAACTTACATGCTAGCCGTAGGTCTACCTTCGAAATTGCTTCTTTGGTTTGCCTACAGTCTGTCGTTTGTGACCAGTATACATCATGTTGACGTAAACTACGTTCTCTTACCCAATTTCTGAGTTGTCGAAATGGGATGGGTATAATAGGTTCCGCTCCGATGGGTTTTCTGCTGGATCCCAATATGCTGGATACTATTTTACAGCTTTACATATTATACCCCATTTGCTTATATTAAAATTGGTTACCAGTACGCTATATAATATAGACCGTAGAGTAATTTTAAAAGAAGCCAATTTACTTTTGTTCGGCTATATATACCTTCGTAATAAGCTAGCGAGTAGACTACAAGTTGCTTAATCATAATTCTTGCTCTATAGATATTAGTTAATATAAATAATCAACGTTAATTACGTTTTCTTCTTTTACTGTTAATTTATGTAATATGGATCGAAAATTATACATATAGATAGATAGTATCTAACTATCTATATGTCCACGTTGTATCCCCGTCGGCTTAATTGGGTTTGATGGCTTTTACTCATTACTTCCCTCTTAGTAATATGGTGTTTTTACATTTCCATTAAATATAACTTAAAATTTTAGTAATGTTAATATAACAATAAATTAATCTATGACGTCAATTATCAATATTGACGTCATAGATTTTAATATAACTTTTTATGTCTAATTGATTAAGCAATTAGAAATAAAAAGTTTTGGGTCACTTGCTTAAACATCGATTTATTCCAAATCGATTATAGTCTATTAAAATTAGTGCAGGTAAAAGCAAATATAGAGGTTCAATTAAATAAAATCTTTATTACCATTCGAAATCATTTTTTTTAGAGAACTTCTAATGCTGTGACAGCTCTTTGTTCTATGCTGAGTTTTAAATATTAAATTATTACTTGATTTTAATTTTTATAATAAAAAAAACACCTAAATATCTTGGGAGTATTTGAAGTCTTTCTCAATGACTCAGAACTTTTTTAGTTCTCATTTTCAGCACATCTCACTATACAAAATTGTCCAATTTCTTACTCGATTTTTAAACTAAATATTTTGATGGTAAAATTTAAAATCAACTGCGGAAGTTTTAAATATTGTGGTAAGCTGACCCGTAGTCATGTGTACACTCGTATTTTATTTTACTATAGATTTTAATATTTTAATTCACATCATCATATTTGTGGCTAGGTCTGTGGTGCTCACTCGTTAACCAAGTAGGTAGTATTTATTCATATGAATATGTCATCAATCACGTAGGTCTTTGATTATGCCTTACTAGGGCTACCATCTCACTGTTTACATCATGGTCACTTTATCGATAGATCAGCCAATTTATCGATAACTTTGTGTACACCAAAACCTATCTCACTCCGTTCACCCGTGAAAATCTCATGAAATAAATGCATTCAGTAGTTCGTCTGTTCTACACGTTTATACAGGAAATTAAAAATAATATTATTACGCTTGAAATTCGTTTACATTTTAATAAGTGTATAATACTTATATGTAATGAAATCACTTGCGGTTTTTTTCTATAGAATTTAACATTTTCTCGTCAAAGGGTGACCAAAAATTTGTTATCTCGAGCTGCTCCGTGCTATTAGAATCACAATTACTAATACTTAGCCATTGTACTATCTATCTGAAGTCTAATATTATATATCTGTCACCTTTGATGTATGAAGAAACATAGCACTAATAATATTGGTCTTTAGGTAAATAGTATAATGGTAAGACGCAAGTCCTTGAGATTGTATTGAGATGTGACTATTAAGTAAAAGTTTGTAGGATTGCCTTGCTGGCTACGCCTGCAGTCATTGTATCTACATGGGCTAATATAGTAGGTCATGTTTCATTGTTCCTATCGATTCTGATAGTGAAAGCTGTGACCTAGTCGGGAAATCAATAGGCTGGCGATGAACACTTTATAGACTAGTGAAAATGATTGCTAAAACTGGTGTCTACTGTTGATGAGTTCGGATGGATAATCGACTATTGCTTGTATCATCATGTTGATATTGTCTTATAAAATAATCTATGGTTAAGTAGAGTGGAGATAGTCTGTGGTACAGGATATGGAGGATCGATTGTTTGATTGTTTTGTGATACAAGTGAAAATAAACATCTAATTATATCAAGACAATCAAGCATTTGTTTAATTTTAACACAGATATGATGAAATTCTTATTAATATTTTACACATCTTATCTTACTAATATTATAAAGGCGAAAGTTTGTAAGTTTTAATGATTTTTACTTCTTCAAGCAAAAAATACTGAACGGATTTTGATAAAATTTGGTATACATATAGGCTACTATTTATTATACTAAATAATTCCATAGGGACCAAGCGGGCGAATATACAAATAAAGTGAGTGTGTTGGACTGACAGACAAGTAATATTTATGTGTATTTGTGCTTAAGTCTAGTTTAAGTTAATTATATTCGTTGGATGCTATTTTAGAAGTTTATCATTGAATCTCCTGGCACAGTTGTCGACAGTGTACATCTTTTTGCTTAACTCCTGGTAGCCCTAGGGGCTCATAAATATTAATACGTCCATTCCTGAGTATCCTGAGTCAGAAGCACGTGCCCTAGACTTACGATCAAGCATCTTTATATGGGAATTCTTATGGCAATATTATAATATCGCATTCATAATTCATGGTCTATCCATTGAACAAAAGAAAAATGTTTTAAAATATATATATATTTTTTAATTATTTCGTTATGCTCCATGCTGTTCTTGAGTCAGTAATATTTCATTCGTTTATGGTTATGATTGAAGTGTGTTATCATATTGTTGATTAATAGATTTCTACCTGTAACTTGTTGATATTTGAAAAAATATTCTTATGGTAATCTTAATAGGATGAAAATATTTAATATTATTACCTTACAAGGTAACTCGGTACCTCGTAAATTTCCTTATAAATTATGACGTATTTAGAAAAAAAACATTTTGTTATAGCGCTAGCGTATTTGTCTATTTATTGCATTCCACAATTAAGATGGTCTCAAAAACTAAAGTATCATCACCCCGTCGGCCACAGCAAATTCGGAGAGAGGGAGGACACTGATTTAAAATGTTGATCTGTCTTAAATAAATTAAATAGTATAAGCTTTAAAAACGTATATAAGTTATCTGTGTAATAGCAATTTTTTTGCAAACGACAAATATTATTTGAAGTCTGTATTTATATAATTGGAATTTAAAATTTAACTAAATGTGTCTGAATTAAAAACTAAAACGGGTAATCTAGAATGAGAACTGAGATGTAAATTTGTAAACTATGAATGAACCTACCTTTTTTTTTAATTTCATCAAAATGAGTCGTATATTTTCAAAGAATATAAGATACGAGTAAGTACGAATATTTTTATTTAGGTGAAATTGAACTTCGGTTGTATTAAATATATATATATATATATAGTTGTATTATATATATATATATATATATATAATACCTATTCGTGCCTAACGAGCAGTAGATAAAATTTTATTTCAAATAATATTGTAAATGCGAAAGTAACTATGTCTGTCTGTTTGGTACGATATTACGCCTAAACCACTGAACGGATTTCAATGTTTTGTTTTCGGGAAGGTATCTTTATACCGGAATGAGGTAGGTAGAAAGCTTTTATGAAAGTGCTTCATTGACAAAAATAAGATGAAACTTTGTATTAGGTAAGAAATTATTTCGTTTTGCAAGTGTAAAAAACCAAATAAATATGTTTATCTTTAATGAAATTCAAAATAATGCCCAAAGTAACTATATCACGTGGGTAAAACCATGGGCAAATGTTAGTTTACCATATTGCTATTCAATAAGAATAACACAACACTAAGTATAAACAATAAGTAAAAAGTATAACACGAATTCTAGAAAAAGTATAACAGCAATTTGTGCTAGACAAGCTAATTTGTTGAATGAAAGCGGTCAGATAAAGAGCTCGTGAGCCAGACAAATTTATCTGTAGAGATAGCGTCTATAGCTTGGCACTTGTATTTACAAATAACCTCTCTTTAGGAATTGTTCTGAAGAAGTTATAGCAGACCATAATGTACCAAATGATTGAGTTAATTAATTAATACTGTTTTCCATTCTTCAGTATTCTATTTTTATATAATGTCATCCTTTTATAGTGTGAACATCTAGGACCACGGATGTGGCCGACAAGACGATGATCTAAAGAAACCGTAAGGACACTACCTAGAATTTCTCAAAACACTTGATCGTGTTTTTGAAGTCTAGCTTTCCATCGGCGGCTTCACCCGCGACCTGTATTAGACTTATAAAGCTTCCTCTAGAATCACTCAGTCCGTTGATGAGAACTGCTTTAAAATCTCAGCTTGCAGACAGCGGGGAGCGACTTCGTTTCATATTATGTATAGATTTATGTTTGCATTGGATAGGGTTAGTTAAATAAAAGCTTCAATCATTAGGTATTGTTTATTTCTGGGCAGGGTGCGTAGGCAAGCGCTTTCGTTAGTGGACGGCGTAAACGCTGAGCAGCGCGGTCAAACCGCGCGCGTTTACCGTACGTTCCACACTCTGGCATGACAGTCGTATTGCAAGACTCCTGTAAAAAAGAATTTATATAAAGATAATGCACTAGACAATGTTTCAAGTATGTTATCGCAATTAGGTTAAATTATATGGTTACTTTTCTGCGTGATTATAAGTAATAAACTGTTTTGGAATCCATTTGGTTTTAGAACAAAAAAAGTCCAAGGAATATTTAATTGCGTTAGATGTGACAGTGGCAAGAAATCCAATTGCTTTGTTCATGTTGATATAATCTAAGCGACTCTCTCTTCTTATTTGCTGACTTCTCAATTTTCAACAATCATCGATATACTTCACTCGGTTTACACAAATCTGTAACACTCACCCTGTTGCACAAACGTCAATTGAATTTTAACGACGATTCAAGCTCTAACTAATGTGTTAAATTAAAAGAAAATGCATCGGTAATGTTGCTTTAAACTAATGACAATTTTATTGGGTGTTTGTGCACTGGGCGGTAACCTCTTCCATGAATACTTCGTCCAATTGATGAATGTATGGTGAATGTCATACAAAAATCTTAACCAGCAGTGCTATTCTGGTAAAAATAAAGCGTTGCTGCAGCATTAGCGACTTAAAAATTTAATAAAAGTCCTTTGAGTATTTTTAACAGAAAAGCAAAGCTGATCTTTTCGTGGTGCATTATCATTGCTACAGCACATATACATATTATGATAGGGAGTTTGTTTCATAACATAAAGTTAATTAATTTATGATAGTGTTAGAATTTTATGTACCAACAATATTAAAAGACAAAAATAATGAATTTTATCCCAAAATCATATTACAGCAGTACCGTCGTGTTGCACGACTCTTGCACCGTGACGACACGACGTCGTTGTTTATTGGATGAACGCCCAAACTAAGGGTTCTAAGAATTATCAGATAATAGCTAACGGTTCCTTGTAAGTTAGAAATGTTGTTGGAAAGGTCTGTATAGGTATTTTGCACAAGATTTTTTTTTATACACGAATCCAAACTCATCCTTATTTAGTCCACTGATTTATTTAGTCGACGCTGTTACGAGCACTTGTGAAAGGCAAAAACTATGTCATCGCTTGCATATCTACAGCGAGAGACAGTACTGAGGAGAACCGTCGTGAAACTCAGCAAAGGCACACTGCTTTCAGATTATTATTATTTATTAATTCTGATGCACCTATCTGTATTGAAATTTAGTGGACATAAATACCTTATAATGGTTGAGTTGCACTTCTTGAAGTGGGGCGTACCATCCTGCGAATGCCGATGTTCCAAGGTTAGCCAAAGGATAATGATTGAAAGCTGTCAACACTTTTCTTGTTAGCATCAAACTCTTACTATAGTATCCGATAGGACTAACTGTTATGGAGCTCACAATATGTTGCACTAGCTTTGGTGTCAACAAATCTTGCTTACATCTCGATTTATAAATATCGTATAGATCACTGTCTATAGCTTTAAAATCTATGACTTCATTATGTTCATGTTTTATATTATTGTTATCCGATACTAATTCAATTTCACCTATATCTAAGTTATCTGTAGCTTTTATTCGAACGTCGTCACGTTTCACGTAAACATCATTATTAATACTTTTTAGTTTATATTTGTCAACACCCTGCATAAAACCGAAGAAAAATACGTTTCTGACCAGAATGGCTGAATCCTGTAACGGGTCCCATCCTATTTTCTCAAGACGTTTTATTAATTCGGGTAAAGTTTTTGCTGTTTTTGGTAACACAATTTCATCAAGGTCTAATGGAATGATGAATTCGGATTCTCTGATATTTCTATATAAACAATCATTATAAGTTATGATATGATCTCTTCGTCTCTGCCAAAGAGATCTGTCTGGCTTATATTTAGTAGGAACATTATAAAGTCTAACATAACCTTGATTTCTATAACGTAATAAAGTGTTTTCACTTTCTTCTTTTATTTTATCAATATATAAATCGATCATTTCGACTCCGAGTATTCTATTTGTTTCAATCCATTCAATAAGATCTTGTGAAATGTCGTCAGCAAAATTCATATCTTTAACGCAAATCGTGAAATTTCTTTCATATTTTCTAGGAGTTACAGGTGCCAAATAAAATGCGTTGGTAGGATCATCACATGGTTGGGTAACGATAGATACAACGGAAGGGTGCTTCAATGGCTCCGTCAGTGGGCATGAGAGTAACAGTGGTATATCGATATCAGTTGAGTGCGCATCCCATTCATGCCACCAAATCTCCAATGGTTTTGCTGCCACTACTTCGACAGAATTTTCAATGTTATTCAAGAGACGGGTCTGACAGAATAGCGGCTCGGTTGAGAAATTGCGTCCTGCGAACAAGCAATATAAACTTACTATAGAAAAAACAATACTAGACAATATATAATTTGTTCAATAATAGCTTTTATATGTACAATTCCCGTATATCCTGTTACTTAACTGTAATATCTTATAGTCGAAAGCTAGTATTACTCGATGTTCTATAATAGTAATTTGCTAGAGTCATTTCCCTGGGCGCCGCCGGGCGCTTAGGAGGAAGTCCCATTACAACGGTGCCTGAATTACTAGTTTCCTGGTATATATAGGATTCCTTATTGGTGAAGAAACTATAAATTTATCGATTTAATCTTAATAAATTATCGTTACTCTTGAATATGTTAATAATGTAAAGTAAGACAGGATGCAATTACAATTTAAAGGGTATGTTAACCAATAATTACTCTTCAAACCGTAAACCAACAATCACTTTTCTTGATAACTCTTGAAAAAAAAATAACGTTCAAAGAAGCCGTAATAATAAATAAGAAAACTATGTCTTATTTAAAAAAAATATTTATAAAAAAATCACTAAATTTCACCTATAATGCACCATTTTTCGATTTTTTATTATGGTGCTATACGCAATTCTTTGATCTTATCTATCTCATAGACGGGTGCCTTTATTTTGTCTTGTTTTCTTTTTTGTATTTTGTCACAGGAAGAAACTCCTTAAAAAAATTTTTTTTAACAATTACGCACTCCCATTAGTAATTAATATGCGATAAAAATATTTGATAGTTGAAAATTAAATTTCAAAACAGCAGCCATAGTTCCAATGTAATCTGAGTTTAGTGCAAAATTTATCTTAGTGAAGGAATTTACACGATGTGCTGGCTTGCCGCAGGTGACAAATGAGGTGGGCCTTATCGTCCTGGCTTACAACATTTTCGAGAATCTCAGATCCCTTACCATATGCACTTATATTTGATAAATATTGTATTTTTATTACATATAACTAATGAAGTCGTTTTATACGGAATAAAAAATTAGTTTTTTTTTAAACTTAACTCAAGGACTGTTAGTTTTAAAAGGCTATAGTTTGTAATGAGTAAAGGCACTTATTGATGACAATGACATAATGGTAAATCATGGAAATAAAACTGCTTTATAATATTTATAGTTAAATACTTTTTCAATGTCCCAGCATTCGTTATCTACTTTACTTAAAAGTTTAAAAATATATAAAGAATATGAAATATAATTGACTGGTTAATTCTAGAAAATTATTTCATTGCCAAAGTTCATGAACTTTTGTAAGTCCATCATGTATCTTCCATCACAATAAAGTTTTGCAATAAAGCTTTTGTTTTAAATTGCTTTAACATGGTAGGGGAATTCGACATTCCCTAACAGTTGTGAGATTTATATTATGCGTTGACGACACAAAGTAAAGATTTTTTAATTTTGGATATTATAAATTTTCTGTTTATTATCAAAGACGAAAATTGAAATGAAAAAGCTTAAAATAGTATCGTATTGAATATTAAGTCAAATAATGTTTATTAATATAACTTTGCTATTATAAATACGTACTAGCAATATCCGCAGCATTGCGATTCACAGTAGAACTTCGCTTTGTAACTAAGAGGTCTCTGAGAACACTTCAGCCACAATTGGATTTTAATGAGACAACCGCAGTGACTTATAGGTGCACATGCCGCAAATAAAATTACAAGAACTCCGTCCCTATTACCCTTCTTCGTGATTAAGTTGCGATTGACCACTTACCTGTACTTTGTTATTTTGCTCTTGGACGTACGGAAAATACAAACGAGGGTACGATATCACGTTGCCCGATAATTATGGTTCACTTTTTATCACCCTACGAGATTTCGCGGATGTCTTTATTGACGGAGATTGTGTCAGATGTTAACTTAAAATACGCTTTTTGCTTTTAAAACTCCATTTATAACATCTACCGGCTAAAGGTTTCGAGGAAACTTAAATTATACACTCACGCAATGTTTACATTTTATGTATTTTTTGCGGTAAAGTTTTATTGATACGATTCCGTTTTATAATGAAAGCAATGTAGTTTTATATGGCGCTTTAAGTGTGGACTAACTATAGCGCATAGGGCATTATAGCTAATTTACATGATTACTCGAAAATGGTATAGGACGAATAGTACCTATATAAATACTTTTGCTGAGTGACGCCTGAGGCGAAGCGCGTGCTTGTTGCTCAGTACAAACAGAAGTTAATTGTCGATCGTGTTGATATCATAATTAGGGTTAATTATATGTCGACAGTATGTTATTACAACATTGTATATAAAGTTTGATCAATCACGATAAACATATTTAATAGCGTTGCTCGGTTAATATAGAATTATAGTTTAACGAACTGAACATAAAGATTAATATTTATTTATTACGTAGTACGCGATACGAAGTAATTTAACTTATTACAAAAAATATATATATTAACTCATTCATTGGTGTAATTAATTGCTAAAGACTTAAACCAGTAAGGTTAAATGTACACACTTAATAAGTACAGGTAAATTATAGGTACCAAATTTGTTGTTGTAATTTCCGAGATTCTATTATCGATTTATATAAAAAAAAAAATAGTTACAATATTACTTGTACATACTCATTTCATATTACGAATTAAATCTTTAAAGTCGTATAAATATTTCCGCCCGAACTGTTTATTTATCTATTACTATAGATAGGCATAATACTTTCGATTAAGACGGGTTTTGCATTCACATGATAAATAATATTATTCTGAAAATATTCTTAACAAAAAATGCTTGAAAAGTCAACCAGCCTAGGTAATCTGAGATGGGACTCGAACCCACGACCTGACAGACATTTTTTTAAAACTTTCTATTAAGATTAAATGTCCTGATTCAGGGTAGCTCAGTGGTTAGAGCAGTCGTCCGGATTGCGAAACGTACAGGGTACGATCCCGTAAAAATTATCATTCTAATATTATGACAATTTTTATTACTTTGATATGTCTTTTGATGGATAAGTCGGAAACACTGCTATCAAATCCATACGCTTCATTTTTTATCATACGTTCTTCGTTATTAAAGTACATGTCAAAGTAGTAAAAATTAAATGAAATAGCGCTCTAAAATCACTATCGTATAAAATGGCTAGGATTATAGCTAGAGGAGATAGGCGGTCACTCTGCTGGACCGTTGGCTTGTCAGATTAGAAAATAAAATCAAGAAAAGACAACCCTTAAATATATAATTAAAAAGAAAAAAGATTTATCTTATAGTAAAATATACACACAGCACTGTGAAAGGAATTTATCTTATAGTATGATTTATTTTATAGTAATATATACAGACAGCACTGTGAAAGGAAAATTTATCCAATGCAATAATTAGAACAGTAGGAGGATGTATATTGATCGGATACTGGCCTTAAGGAACAGAGAGCGGAGTCTATAGCCCGTCATTCATTACCATAAACAAACGATTTTCTGACTCGATGAAGTGTACCAAAGGAATTTCATGCCTAAGGCACACGTAAATGTTCCTAGCGGTACTCTATAGTATAAAATATATCCTTACGTATCAGTTCAAGCTTTCTGGTTTCTAATGTTAAGTACCTTATTATGGAAATATTATTGAATTTAATAAACTTTGTTTTTGTATTAGTTTTGCTTCTAATTTAATAATACTTTTATTATACTTTTAACACGGAACACAGGATACAGTACAATGACCCAATATTGATTTATCAAGGTTTTATAGAAGATTGGATTTTTTAAACATTTTTCATTAAGAATGTTTTCCAGTTAAACATTGTAAATGCAAAATAGAAGAATGTTGCCAGTATGTACTCTTGACTTGCATCAGTTTACAGCTTGTTTAGTTAATATAAAAATATCTTATCATTTAAAGGAATCTGAAAAGACAATATAAGTCAAGTCTGAAAAACAATTTTCCCTATCGATAGATATTATAAATGAAGGTTGTAACAATCTCACGAAAGTTCCGTAAAGCGTTATTATATTAAGTATGTGTCGAATTACTCGTTGAGTATGCAATCATATATTTCATATCATATATTTTCCAGTTCTGACATTCTACGAATCGAATCGAATCTTTTTTCAGATATACATCGACCCTCAATGACGACTTTAAAGTTCAGTGAGCTTTTGTTGATTTTACAACTGCACGCAAAAGTAATCTAATGATCAAATTTTTTTAATTAAACTATAGTTTTAATCGATACTAATATTATAAACAATTAAAGTATCCTACTTTGTTTGTTTGTATAGGGTAATCTTCGGAATTACTGTTCCGTCTTTAAATTCTTACGAGAAACTACATCATACATGAGTAGCATAGGCTATTATTTAAGTGGGTGAAGTCTAATTAATCTCCAACTTAGTTCAAGCATCCTACATTTATAAATATATATGTTTTTTGAACTAAGTTTCTGTCTTTATATTAAATAATTAATGATTGTTAAATATCGTCTCTGAGTGAAAAAAATCTAAATATATTATTAACTAACTATTTTGTCGAATTGTATTGGTAACATATTGGAACACCTGCTTCAATTCTTTGAATCCAGATTCAAAGAATTGAATCAGGTGTTCCAGGTGTAAATAAATAAATATTGGAACACCTGCTTCAATTCTTTGAATCCAGATTCAAAGAATTGAATCAGGTGTTCCAATTATACTCGTATTATCAAGGTAAACAGAGTGTAGTTTCTTCTAAAGTAATCATATAAGTAAATATCCGTTATTTGTATGTATTATTGTTAGAAAGGTTTGGAACTAGTTCTTGTATATTTACCGTGGAATGTGGCTAATATCCTCACATAGCGTTGAGGCAAACGCTCGTCGTAGTAAGCGGCGTACACACGAACACGTGTGCCGGATACTCGTTGCCATGAAGATTCTGATTCTACACCTTGTGACCATGTATGGTTCTGGAAAAAAGTTATTAATTGAGATGAGTATTAAAAACGACCAACTTTCAATAAATTAATAAAAAAATAATAGGTTTAATGAAAAATGTTTAAAAAATCTTGGATTGTTTAATAGGTTGATTTATTAGAATTAAAACTATTATTTAATTTGACACAGTTAACAGTACAGAATCCGCTGATCGAAAACTAGTAAATGATATTCACCAGCAGGCTAAGTCTGCTAATTTACGTAACAATCGTACCTCAATAGAATTTCAACGATTAGAATTTTACCATTGTTTTTTCTACCTATATTATTAGTGCAATGTCGTCCTCATACTTCAATGGTGATAGATATATAATAATATTGATCTTCAGGCAAATAAGGCAATAGTAAAATGCAAGCCGTTGTGATTCTATTGAAATGTTACGAAAACACTAGTTGAATTGACCTACTGCTAGTGCGTTGATGTCTTTACTATGTCAAATATATTTGTTTAGTTTTGCACCAATGTTTTAAGCTCGTGTCTTTATCGTGCTTTCATTAAAAAAAGTTTTTATTATTTTTTATTTTTCGAGGTTCCAAAGGGTAAACGGGAACCGTATTACTAAGACTTCGTTAACTGGCTGTCATCAGGCTGCATCTCATGAGCCGTGAAAGTTAGACAATTGAAATTTTCACAAATGATATATTTATGTTGCCGCTTCAACAATAAATACTAAAAGCCGAAGTAAATAAATGTTTAAGGGGGCTCCCATACAAGAAACGTGATTTTTTTGCTCTGAACGGAACACTTTGCGTGCGAGTTCGACTTGCACTTGGTCGGATTTTTTTGTTATTTATCTTTCTTAATTATAATAAAAAAGATAAAATACCTATATAAAACAAGTTACACTAAATGTATTTAAAACAATGACTTTTATTTTTAAACCTTAAGCTATTTTTTTAATTGGAATTGTTTAAGGCAAGTTTAGACGCAAATTATTACTTTAAGTTCCTAAGTTTTTATTATATTTCTTGATTATTTACATCATAATTTGTTCCGAAAGCACTGCGACTTTAAACATTGCATAATTCCATAAATCTCTATCACATTCGCTATATTGAAAGGGATTATGATAGATTTCGAAATTACACAATAACCTAACTAACTTTTCTGAAGTCAGTTAAAAATAATGTAAATCTATATCAGTAACCTAGCCACACGAAGCTTTCAAAATGAAACAGATGCCATCTATTAATGCGCGGGTCTGTTTACTTAGCCTAGATAACAAGTACAACAAACGATTTCACCAACAGACTACTACCACAGCGGCGACACTCGCTGTACACGAGTTCCACGCCTTGTGTGGTGACGGAAACAAACAAGCAATCAAATATTTCCTTTTTATTATATTAGAAGTATAGATTTATTAACAAAACTACTTATTTAAGAATGAAAACTAACGATTTCTGAAACGAATTTTAATATTTTAAAGTTTTCTGATTCGATTACTCGAACGCCAATGTACATGTTTGTCACTTATATATTTGTATTGATATTTCACCGCTTAACTGTTTTATAACAACTTTATCGTCAATACAATATTAGCCTTATATGAGCGTGGAGTACAGTAAAAATCTCGTGTAATTACATAAATTAATGATACTGGAAATATTGCCAATCGGGTTATAAATTTCGGCCATTTAGCAGTCAAGTTATATTTGTAAGAAAATTTAAAAAGCATAGACTTCTAATGTTAAAAAAAGGTTTTGTTTATTTATTATTTTAGTAGTCTCGGAGACAAGATCGGGAATGGTCAATTTATGCTTTATTTCTTTATATATTTTCAAAACTATTCACCACATAATTATAAATATTGGAATTTTTCGCAACAGTTTCATTTTATATTTCACACGATATAGTTTTCCAAACTTATTATTATTTTAAAATTCATGTTCGGTCTATTCAATAGAACAAAATCTAGCAAGTTTCAAGTAAATTTTCTGTAGTACTTATATATTGTAACGAAGAACAGTCGCCCGGGTTCGAGTCTTTTCTCAGAGTACCAAGGGCTGGTGGGTTTTTAAGCATTTTTCATTAAGAATATTAAACGTATATTAAATTACGATACGAGTTTCATGAAACTAATTTCAATACATGTGAAATTAGTTTCGTATTAGCTATATTCACAATATTTACGTAAACATTCACTCAATGACATCATGATGAAGGTTAAAATTGTCCAAAATTACCCCTAAAATTGACTCAATTTGCCTTATTTTCTGCAACAACCAATTATATTATTTTATTGAGGACGAGGGGTTCGTGGAACTAAAAATTTGAAAAACCTGGTTTAAGAATCGTTCATACTAATTTACTAAAATTCAAACGTGTAGGACAATGCCGTGTGAAGGCAGTCTAACATATAAGTTATTATCGTACTCATGTATTTAATTGGTAAAGTAGTTTCGGAGCAAATTTTTTGGTACGGATGGTAGTACAGTTAGATATATATCCACACTAGTGATCTCCGTTTTTTACTTTTGAAGTATGGAACCCTAAAGAGTCGATATCCACATCTTACATATAATTGGTCAAATCAAGCAACGGTTTTAAATTTTAATCGTTTTAAGAAGGTCCCGCAATTTGCAATTTTCTTAATGACCACAAGAAATCGGTAAGTTTATTATGGACATTTCCTCTCAAAGACCGCAAATAAATGCACGTATGCGAACGAAACGCTATAACTTTGAATATATGAATTTTTCGTTTCGGACATAATTTCGATATAAATGATAAAATCTCTAAATTATATTTTCATCAATATAATTTTAGTTAGTTTAGTTGATTGTAGTAGGTAGTAGTTCGAGCGCTTTAAGCATGCTTAATGTAACTGTTTAAATACTTTAAATATCGTAATTTCCCCGTGCTATGTTGAAATCGGTGGAAAAGAATAATAATTTATGATTGATTTTAGACATGGAACAAAATTTATTTTATTACTTCAAATTATTACTAATGTTTTTAAACTCACGAAAACGATTTGTACACATTATAATTATATGTAATTCAAATTATTACATAAAATTATTTCTTTATAAACTAAAACCATAAAGAAAAATATCAAAAGAGGCCTGAACAGTAACGTTGCATTGCAAGAAAATCACTATGCAAAAATCTATGAAGATCGTTTTTTTATTTTATAAATTAAAATAATTTAAAAACATCTCAAAGAAACACATCAGTGTTATTGGAGTCTGATGTAAGTGTGTACTTTATGCTTAAAATAAACCCCTATAAGTGATTTTTAACTTAACAACTGTGTTGATAACTTTTATTGACTGTAATATCTTAATTGCTTTCCTTCAATGTTTAAAGTTTCATTATACTTGTAACATTTTTTAATGTGATATAATAAATACTTTAATTAAGAAATGATTGCAGTCAAAGTTGCATAAAGTTTCTATATCTTGCGAGTTTCGGATTGTCGTTGTTATAACCACACTTTTTAAAAGCAAAAGGAACTAGCTCATACAGCCTAGTTAAAATTATATTATTTACTTATACTGTATTCATTAAAACGTTAAACCTGGGTATTTCAGGTTTCTTTAGAGTTTTTAGAGCCAACCAAAGATTTACGAACACAGAAATCCACAGGAATGCGGTGATCAATTTGCGTTATTGCACTAAATCACGGAACACTTCCTGTTTACGACCCATACGCCATCTTATTTCACAGAATATTGTGCATTTGCATGAAATTTGTCTCGTAAACTTATACTATTCTAATGAACCAAAATACAATACACGAATGTTTTATATAAGTTTTATGTAATCATTGTTTGCTCGACACACTTTTATCACTGGTTTATTAATCTAAGTGACTGTATTGTAAATTCCAAATTGTATTGTATTTTAGGTACTGTTGTTACCCAAAGAATATATAAATCTCCGTTACTCATCTTCATAATATTTTATTGCACTTGACGGTGGACACAGAATTTAGTAACGGACACATTTAACTTTAACTTTGAGAATCATAACATCCACTTTTAATGATGACTTTGACAATTTGACACTAAGCTCTTTTTTTCATGTCAGCTGTCACTTACTATTATAACGCAAGGACGCCAAACGGCACGTTCCGTTACACAGAGTGTAGTGATGTGCAATGCAATGCTCCTGATGGTTGGTTAATATGTTTTTTTTTTTTATTAACCTGTTTTATATATTTATTTTTTTACTATAATTTCATATATATATTTTATTTAATTGCTTATTTATCTGTTTTAAATTGTGTTAATCCATTTTAGTGTCGCTGTACCGCCATCTAGTGAAACTAATTTTGATATTTTATTTCTTTATTTTTTTTTTATTATTTATTTCCAATGCTTTTGTCGTTTGGCTTTAATGTTTGTTTTTTTTTTTTTAATTTAACTCTGTGTTTATTAATTGTTCATGTTGAGTGATATTGATATGTATGATGGTAGTTTGAATTTTTAAATGATCGCAATTAGTATGCAGCATGTGTGGAAAGCTCCGCAATTAGTTTTTTTATTTATTATTATTATTATTTTTTACACAAATATTTATTATTATTTAAATTTTAAATAAATATATTATATTATTTATTCATATCTATATAATCTTAAGTACATACTATACAAATGGACCTCTTTGATATCGATGACAGTTTTTTTTCTTGTTCTTCCAGTTCTTCATTACCTAGCAGCTTCAATAGTGCTGATAGTGTTCCCGTAGTGTCTTTGCATGAACAATTAGCAGGTATTTTTTCCAATCACTCTCACAATTTCAACGTGGCACATGTAAATGTACAGAGCATTCCTGCTCATTACACAGATATTTTGGCATCTATTAGCAGCTCATATGTCGATGCTTTCTTGGTTTCGGAGTCATTTCTAAAACCTTCCCTGCTATCTGCGCAATTCGCAATTCCTGGCTTCAATCTTGTTCGCAACGATAGGATCGGTAAGGGTGGTGGAGGGGTTGCAATTTACATTCGTGATGATATCCCGT